GGTTTGAGGGCATTAAAGGCTCCCCGATATTGCCAGCCACCCAGATTTATCATGCCTAACTCTGTTTGCACCCTGGCAAACAGCTCCCTTACTGAATGCTCCTCAGCTAGCCCGTGCAAGCATGCCATTTCCAGCTGACCCTCACTGATACAGACCATTTTCTATGCTCTTTCGGGACTGAGATGTTGTGTACTGGTCAGAGCAGGAGACTTCACATTTGCTGGTAATTCTCCTGGTTATCAATTCTGGGGATAGTCCTCAAAGATCAAGTTGGGGCAGTCTTGACCCAGGTGGGGAGAAGTTTCACAGGTGGAAAGATGTGTATCAAGGCTGTAAGACCTGGAAGACTCACTTCTACTGCAGATGGCCAGCTGCTTCCTCTCCCTGTGCCTACGCCTTTGCAATGTGACTCAACGGCTCCTCCCACCAAAAGGCAGTGCCTTCCTCCAGCCTTTGCTGGAGGAATCTGCAAAGGACCATGTAGACGCCAAGACAGACACATCTACTGAGGGGTGTTAGGAACAGGTACCAATATTGAACACTAGTCTCCTGGTTGTGGTTGTTATGGATCGAATGTATGTGTCCCCCCACAAATTAGCATGTTGAAATCCTTACCTCCAAGGTGATGGTATTTGGGGGGTGCCTTTGGAGATAACTAGGTCAAGATGGAATTAGTACTCCTGTAACGGAGCCCCCAGAGCTCTCTCTACCACATGAAGACGCAACGAAAAGTTGGCCATCTGCAGCCTGGAAGAAGGCCTCACCAGAACATGGCCATGCCTGCACCCTGATCCTGTATTCCAGCCTCCAGAAATAAATGCCTGCTGTTTATAAACCACCCAGTCTGTGGTACTGTTACAGCAGCTAAGACAGAGGAAAAGGTTGTTTCATCTCTAAATTATTTCCTACAACTTCCAATCCCTAATTCCATAGAAGTGGAATCTGTGGCTACAAAATAAACCTCAAGTTAGGTCTCCCACAGTCAGATTGTTTCTTGCTGGAATGTGTATTTCCCAACTGTGACCTTCTTCAGCTATCATCATCTACTTTTGTGATCGGCAATGCTCACTGTCCCCCACGGATCTCAAGGCCCTCAGGGCAGGGCCGGGCCGGTGTCTACATTGTCCACAGCATCCTCGGCACCCCCAGCCCATTCTGAGCCTTTGGTTTCCCAGAGCCCATCATCACTTTCCATGAGTTCTTTGTGACCAAACATTTCAATTGGGGTATGAAACACTGACACCTATCGTAAGCCACAATTACCCAACTGCACTATCACTAGCAGATGCGTTTTTACATATGTGGTCTCCACAATGCCACGTTTGCCACGTGGTATTAGAGTGATGGCTTCCTTCTTGCCTTTTCTAACTCCATGAGGTGGGCCCTTGTGTCAGGCCTTGTTCTAGTTGCCGGGGATGCATCCACACACCAAAGAGATAACTCCTTTTGTCTTGGACTGAGGAAAAGAAACAATTACAACAAAATGTGAGCGTTGTACCAGAGAAAGACTGAATGCTCCAGCAGTCACCGCAACCTGACCTTCTTCCCCTAGAGTCAGGGGAGAAAGGTGGAGGGAGGGGGGTCGCCACTGTATGAGACTGGGGACAAACGTGGCCAAGAGAACAGGTCCAAAGGCAACTCTGGGCACCCCAGGGGTTTCAGGAAGGTGAGAAAAAGCAGTAAAAGAGAACAAGGAGCGGCCAGAAGCAGAAGAAAACCAGGCCAGCTTGGCGTTTGGGAAGCCAAGTGAGGTGTTTCTTAAGGAGTGCTCCATGATCGCAAAGGATGCTAACTTCAGGCAAGAACAGAGGTGACCCGTCACTCCCTGCCACAGGCGACCGGAAGTGCAGCTTGAACAGAGGCGACCCGTCACTCCCTGCCACAGGGGACCGGAAGTGCAGCTTGAACAGAGGCGACCCGTCACTCCCTGCCACGGACCCGAAGTGCAGCTTGAACTGAGACCCCTCACTCCCTGCCACAGGGGACCGGAAGTGCAGCTTGAACAGAGGCGACCCGTCACTCCCTGCCACAGGGGACCCGAAGTGCAGCTTGAACTGAGACCCCTCACTCCCTGCCACAGGGGACCGGAAGTGCAGCTTCAGCAGAATGGATTTTATGGCAAATGCAGGAAGAGAAATTACGAACACTTCTTCAAGACTAGAGACCATGGCACAATTGGCAAGGGAGAGAGGTATGGGCCATCATGGGGGCTAAAAGTGTGTAGTGTTCTAGAAGGAAGAAAGGAGGGATGCAAGGAGGGGCATGTAGAAAATGTGCTACCAAGTCAAATAAAATGAGACCAAATTCCACTGGCATTTGAAATGGGATGAACCCAGTAAGAGCACCTTCCACATTCGTAAGTAGGGCAAGGAATGCCCACTGAGGCACCTGGGCTATGCCTTTGACAGGGCCTTGCTCTTTCCAAGAAGAGACAGACTTGTCATGTTACCTATCTGACGAGGAGCCAGTGGAGATAGCATGAAGGAGAGGAGAGGAAGCGGGTGCAGAGTGGAGTCTGGGGCAGGAATGGGATCCAAACACGGCTGCTCAAGTCTTTTCTCCTCACACTTGGCCAGGGGCACAACTCTTATCTCCTAAGCATTCCAGTTCAAGACTCATGTGTGTTCTGCCCCACAGTTTACTCATACTGCTCCAGATTAGGATGGGGTGTGCCACACATCATCTAAACCTTGACAGCTCCCAGTGTCTGCCACATCAGTCCCAAACTCCTGCATGTTGCCAGGACACACGGCGAGTCCCGCAGCAGCCTCTGCTGGACAAGGCAAGCGCACCACATAGGTTTCAAACATGGTTTTTATGGCTCTGGCCCAGTCCCTTCTGCCCCAGGGAGCCTCAGCTTTTGGCATTTGCACCTCTGCCCCCAATTTCTCATTTTTTTCAACAAACGGCCCAGACCCACTTTCCCCAGCAAGCTCAGTCTACCTTTCTGAAATGCTTAAGGCCCTAGAACTGTAACATGATGTTCACTGAATTATTCATAACTGTTGTTTTTTTTTTTTGAATTGGAGTTTTGCTCTTGTTGCCCAGGCTGGAGTGCAAGAGTGCAATCTTGGCTCACCGCAACCTCCACCTTCCGGGTTCAAGTGATTCTCCTGCCTCGGCCTCCTGAGTAGCTGGGATTACAGGCATGCACCACCATGCCCGGCTAATTTTTTGTATTTTTAGTAGAGACGGGTTTTCTCTATGTTTGTCAGGCTGGCCTAGAACTCCTGATCCACCCACCTCACCTAGTGGGATCACAGGCGTGAGTCACCATGCCCGTGCCCAGCCCTGTAACTGTTTTGTTAGCTACAAGAAGCTCCTTACACCTTGATGACCTGAGGCCTTTGGCTAACAGGAACACAAGGACAAAGTAGACTACTGTGAGCAGGGTTGTGGACCTATTACAAAATCCATCTAAGCTTCAGTTCCTGAAAACCAAGGTTAGTAACATACCCACTTCACAGGATTCTATGGGGACCAAATAGAAATGGACACTCCTGCCACATGGTAAGCGCCCTTCAAATGCTATTAAACAAAGGTAAGTTTCCCTCTCCCTTCCATTATCTCAACAATTCTCCATGACGCCCTCCCTCCCTCCCCACCAACCCCCCCCACTCCCCCACTGCACCAGAAGGTGCTAGATGTAATGGGAGCATGCAGAATTCAAGCACTGTTTCTTCCCACGTGCTCGTGATTTGATGATTTCTCAATTTATGGAAAAAAAAATCACGTTTCAAGGTAGTCAGTCACATCTAATAGTATACTAAAACATGCCCCTCTACTTTTCATATTTATCACAAACTCTTGTGTTGAGGGCTCTTGACCGACTGCAGTAAGGGAGCCGCTCTGCTGCATATGAAATCCCGAGCCAGAGCCCCTCGACTTGTGAAATGTGTAGTTGACAGCCACTTCACACACATTTCAGCTACAGAAAACATATTCAAGGAAGAATGTTAAAAAGTTTCCTTGTATCCTACCAGGGGTTCTCTCTAGATGTAAACAAATCTGGATGAAATATTATAATCCAAGTATACCATTTCCCACACTGTAAATCTTCTGTGCTGCTGGGGAGCCAGTCCAGTTACAACACCTGAAGGGGAATGAGTGTCCAGGGGCTTCCCCACACTTCACGAGGCCCACCCCTGTTTCCACTGACCCCCTTCTCTGGCCCGAAACCCCCAATTTCCTCCAAAGGCAAAATGAAACTCAAATCTCTCTAGACTCAAAGACTGTCTTGAAGAAACACCCAATTTCCTCCAAAGGCAAAATGAAACTCAAATCTCTCTAGACTCAAAGACTAAGTCTTGACTATGCCAACCTATTGGTTTGTAACTGCACTGCTCAAGGATCCTGCTTCCTCTCCTTCAACCCTCTCGGGAGCTCTCCCCAAGAGATTTTAAGTCTCACACAGCCAGACTGTATTTCCCTTTGTCAAGAAGCAATCACAGAGTACTCTACCTGCAGGAGATAATAAATGTTGAGTAATTTATGTATAAAACCATTCTAGAATACTTTTGTAGTGACCTGCCCCTATTCTGAAGGTTAATGTTTTTCCTTCTGATTATTTAGATTCTATAGCAGGGTCCACAAACTACCGCATGCAGCCCAAATCCAGCCCATCAGCAAAATAATTATTTTAAAAACACTCCCTTAAAAACATAAAAACCTAAGAGCGCACATATGGGGCCTGTGGAGTCTAAGATATTCACTATTTGGCTCTTTATCCAAAACCCGATAGTGCCTCTGGACAAGGGCGTAACAGATGAGTCGTGGCGAAAGGGACTAACTGAGAGGACGGGTAGAAACCCGGGCAGCCTATGAGGAACCTCGAGGTGTGATGCTTCTTCATCCCAGTAATTCAGCGCCTCGACTGGAAGCATCTGATTTTCTGGGTGAACCTCAAGGAGCCTGTAACTTTCGAAATCACCACAGCTGTCTGCCACTTGCCAGACTTATTTTGGGTAAGCAGTAATAAATGGAGAAATAAGTACTAATAGTTGGAGGTTGTGAGAAATAAAAAGCTATTTAATGTTGGATAGACAAATTCAAGTCCATAAATTTCCTTGAAAGATGCTAAAAATGTTATTCTCATTTTTTAAATTAAATTTACAGTTTCGTTTTTACAAAGTTCTGTACATAAAAATAAATATACAGAAACAAACCCCATCAACTGTCTGCATCAGTAATCCTCACTGGTGGGCTCACCATTGCTAAGGAAGACATCATTCAACGCAACCTGTCACAGAGACTGTCCTGGCAGCAAGATTTCTAACTTCAAAATATCATTACTCTTTTATCAAGATTGCTAATCATCTAGAGGCCTCTACCTACCAACTAGCAATTAACCATGAAATCAATGAATGCAATCACTGCCTCCAAATGGAACATGACCAGTGACCTAATGCCTACTGGCAACATCTATACCCTTTGCTGCCTGGAGCCCTTACATATGCAGGTGTAGTTATGAACAGAAACAAACCCCACCTCCCCCTGGCTAGTCACTGTGAAAAGCGTGCGTAAGGCAATTGAATCGAGGGTTAAGGATTCATCTTGCTAATGTCAAAAGCTACACTAACAAGATTCTTAGCCTCATCCGCCAGATGACGGGCCTCTGCGTCCAGGTCTCCAGGAGCAGGTTCCACCTCCTTCACCAGACAAAGGGTTATAACCTGGGATGACAGAAAGGAAGCAAAACAGCATGGATAAAAATCTGAAAATCTGGGAACATTCTATATCCAAAATAAAATTATGTGACTGACATGCAAAGCACTGTAAAGATATGGATTCTAAGGTACATTTTAAAAATTTTTAGCTACTATTTAAAAAGGAAAAAACCTTTATATTGTAATTGCCATTTGAATTGATTTTCTGGTGGAGAAAAAAGAAGTCATTCAACTTCTTTGTCCTAACCTCCAAAACACATGCAAAAGAATCACCAAAAACTTCCTCAAGATGGCCTGATTTAAGTACATGAAGCCTCCTATCAGTGTATGTATTACTGAAACTCACACATTCAAATAAGGGCTGTTCAAGCTACAGAAAATGGATTTAAAAAAATCAAGACAGAATGAAACTTGCCACTTCTACCAGTCAGAGCCAGGTCATCTGCGTGCTTCCCTGCTCCCCTTGCCCCACTCCCTCATGAGCTTCCCAAAGTCAATGAACAACTGGGGACCTGCTTGAGTGCTCAGGTTCTAGGGTCAGCCAGAACTTAAAATATGTTGGTTTTACTCCTTACTTGCAGTGGAATCTTTGGGCAATAAAATCCTGTGCCTCAGTTGCCCTATTTGTAAAACCAGGCTAGTCAAAGCCCCAGCTCAGGAATGCTGGGGATGCTGAAGGAGGCCATGCACGCATTCCATCTTCTACGATTTCCATTCCTATCCTAAATATCACCTCTATGTGTCTAAAAATAAGCTTCTAGCAGGACCATCTAAAAATAGCATTTTCTTTCCAGATGTATCACCTTCTCTACAGCAAGCCAGGTTTAGTCTCCTGACACAAAGGGGATTACAGCTCAGCATTTAAGGTCAGCCAAGTTTGTGGCCCATGTCCCAGTCTTTCTTCAGTCCTCATAGACAACATCAGGTCTCCAGGCCTCTGCTGTGCCCCTCTCCTCCTATAGAGAATACAAAGTCTTCCGCCCTGGAAGTGTTCTATAGTGTTCTAGTGTCTTTGCTCTCTCATTCCTCAGCAGTAACTTGCAACTCTTAGCCAGAATCACAAAAGATTGCTTATTTTTGTTTGTGAGTCACATCTTCCCAGACTTGAAATTCTTGGCGATGGGATGAAGACAGACTGCTACGGCACCACCCACAGTCCCCAGGGCAGTGCTGCACACAGGAAAAAGCTTTGAATGAGCATCTGTCTGCCACTCCTTGTTGTTTGCAAGAAACATGGTGGTCCTGGCTAGAAAGGCCAAAACCACTGTGTTCCAGCTCCTTGACACTCATCTGAAAACTGGCAGAGAATTCCTCGTCCTAATTAGCTCTCCCTCTACGGGACTGCAGAGGGATCAAGTGAGAATACTGTAATACAAGTACAATCCTTCCAAGTACTTAGTGAGGGCCTAGGAGGTGGTTTGCATCTGTTTCCTTTATTGAATCTTCACAATCCTAAAGAATTAGTCTTAATTTATGCACAAAGAAACAGTCTGGTTTATAAAAGGTAACTATATCCTGTAAGTGTTGAAAATCTGTTAACATTTGATATCAGTGGTGCTTACCACCTCCCCGCAAAGGCTTTCTGTCCGATTTCCGTTTCGGGATGACAGATGGAGTGGAAGGCCCAGGACTGTCTTCCTCCTGTTTGAATACACACAGGTGTTAAAAAACAATGAAAACATTCTACTTGGCAATTTTCATCTACTGCAAAATGCCAGCTGGCCGAAGTCTCCAGTCACCTGAGGCTTCTTTGCATTTCCTTTGTAACTTTTTCCTTCTTGCATGCTGTCCCACATTTCAATCTTCTGTCTCCTTTTTTCTTCTTCAAGCTGAGAAACAATCACATTGCACAGAAAGAATTCAGAGACTGCCATTGCTCTCAAAGACAACAGTAACTCTGACAATTCCTAATTTAAGTGTCCTTCAGAACAAACGCCACCATCATTTTCTTTGGTTAATATAACTGTTGTGATCTGGTGGTATGAGTTTAACTCACAAAGAGAAGCTTTGGTTTTTATACACTATTAAAGAAAGCAAAATGTTTCATGAAAAAAATGACTGACTCCACGTTCTTCTGAAACTCGCGTCTCTCAGGACATTTTTGGCAATGTGGAAGACACAGGCATGTGCACACACACTCACATGTACCCTGCTCCAACCTGTCCCCCCTCCTGTGCTCTGTACCTTCCACTGTAAAATATTCACACCCCTACTGTCCCCTAACGATAGTGTATTTTTCTTGATATCACCAATATTGACATGGTAGGAAGTGAAATACATATGAAATTTAATGGGATCGGACCTGGTCCCAGAAGCTTATAGACAACACAGCCAGCCATTGTGACCCACTGAGCCTCAGCCAATTTCTATGTACATATTCAAACTGAAACCAGGTGCTACCTGTTTTAGTTTCTCTTTATGCTTTTCAACTTGGGCATTTAGTTCTTCTTGCATTTTCAATCGAGCAGCTGCTAAAGCTTCTTGTCGTTTAACAACAACATCAGGTTCTAAAACGTCAGAAAAAAACTGAGATCAAGCACTTTGTACAGTAGAAACTTCTGAGTGTCCGCATTATTAGAAGTACAAAGAGGTATTGACATCAGACAATGAAACATGTTTTTACATGAGTAATCCTGACCCCTCTGCATATATTTTACTGCTTCAAGGGGCAGGGGTCTGTTGCTGAGCCATGGATTTTAGCTCCAAATATCTGCATCACCAGAAACCCGTTAGAAATGTCAATTTCTGAGTTCTCCTGAGCAATACCAATTCCTAAAGCCTGGGATGGTGGCCACAGAGAGCACATTTTGGGTACCTCAATGACACCCATGGTCTCTAGGTTGACCAGAATCCCAGAAGACTACCAAGGAAATATAAAGTTTTCGAAATCATCCATCCCTCGATTAGCCCAGGAGTAAGATTCTTAGGTATTTGTTTTTACAGAAAAGAAACAAAAATCCTTCCAAATAGCATTATGAATGGAAATGAACTCCCCAGCTTAACCTGTATTTTTATCTGGTTTGTAAAACCAGTTTGTAAAATACCAGTGACTCAGATGAATGACAATTTACACTATTTCACTATTCTAAAAACATGTAGCATTTCTTTTGGATATGTCCACAGAAACTGTATCTTCTAACTAATGAAAAGGCTACCTTTCAAAGGAAATGAGTTTTTTAAACAGGTAAATCTAATTGGAAATCAGGTCTGATGGATAAGTTAGTGAAAACCAAAATGAAGTGAACATGAAGAAATAAGGCTGCCTATTAAATCTCTCAAAATGTTCTGGAGATAACTCAGAGTTAGTAGGCAGACCTACAAGTACAGAGAAAATCGTTTCATTTTAAACCAGCCTATAAATGAAAAGCCATCCAACAAGACATGCACTCAGTACACCATCAGGCAGGCTCTCCATTTCATTAACTCTCTGAAACCAAAAAAGTTACACATGCACCGAATCAGCTTCAGAAGCAGAAAAGTGTTCTTTTTCCTCCTATACACATGAGAACCATATACTGCTACTTTTTTTTTTTAATTTTTTTTCAGAGACAGAGTTTTGTTCTGTCACCCAGGCTGGAGTGCAGTGGCTCGATCTCAGCTCACTGCAACCTTCGCCTCCCGAGTTCAAGCGATTTTCCTGCCTCAGCCTCCTGAGTAGCTGGGACTACAGGCACACGCCACCACATCCAGCTAATTTTTGTATTTTTAGTAGAGATGGCATTTCACCATGTTAGCCAGGGTGGTCTCAAACTCCTGACCTCAGGTGATCAGCCCGCTTCAGCCTCCCGAAGTGCTGGGATTACAGGTGTGAGCCACTGCACCCAGCCCTTTTTTGGGGGGAGGTCAAGGCGGGCAGATTACGAGGTCAGGAGTTTGTGGCCAGCCTAACCAACATGGTGAAACACCATCTCTACTAAAAATACAAAAACTAACTGGGCGTGGTGGCATGCGCCTGTAATCTCAGCTACTCGGGAGGCTGTGAGGCAGGAGAATCGGTTGAACTCGGGAGGTGGAGGCTGCAGTGAGCCGAGATCACACCACTGCATTCCAGTCTGGGCAACAGGGCAAGACTCCATCTCAAAAAAAAAAAAAAAGGACAAAGGCTCACTCTGTTGCCCAGGCTGGGGTGCAGTAGCAGGATCTCAGCTCACTGCACCCTCCATCTCCTGGGTTCAAGCAATTTCTCCAGCCTCAGCCTCCCCAATAGCTGGGATTACAGATGCCCACCACCATGCTCCACTAATTTTTGTATTTTTAGTAGAGGTAGGGTTTCACCATGTTTAACCAGGCTGGTCTCAAACTCTTGACCTCAGGCAATGTGCTGGCTTTGGCCTCCCAAAAGTGCTGGGATTACAGGCATGAGATACCGTGCACAGCCGAGAACCACATACTTCTTATTTTTTAAAAGCAGGGTCTCAGTCAATTGCCCACGCTGGAGTGTAGTGTGGCCCAATCATAGCCCATGGCAGCTTTCACTTCCTGGACTGATATGATTCTCCTGCCTCAGCCTCCTGAGCAGCTGCGACTACAGGTTTGTGACGCCACTCCTGGCTATTTTATTTTTTTTTAATAGGGACAGGGTCTTGGTATGCGGCCCATCTTACTTTTAATAAGAGACTAACTCTTAATAAAAGAAGATGCAGAACCACCGCTTTCATTTCGGTTATCAGGCACTAACCCACAGCAGCCGCTGCTCTGTCCAGCTGCCTTTGCCTCAAGGCTCTTAGCCGGGTGGAAAGCTTCTGGAAGCCCACGTAGAGAAGGATGCAGCTGAAGACGATGTACCAGCCATAGGTGGCCAGCAGGGAGCCCACTGAAAAGAAAAAAAAAGGTTTTCAAAAAACTAAAAATGGCACTACTAGTTGACTTTTCCATAAGACTCAACAAACACAAAGTGCAACTCCTGCACTCAAAGCCTTCATGGTCTAGCTGAGGAAAAAGCCTCGTAAGTAGATCGTTAAAACATGAACAAGAAGTGCGACAATTGAGGGATCTCCCAGAAGTCAGACTTCTCAGCCAACTGGGGAGTCGGGGGCAGTTAGGGGGTGGAGGGCACAACAACTGGGTTGTGAAAAATGAAGAGCAACTAATCTCAGGAAGGCAAAGGCCTTTCAGACCTAGAGAACCACATATAAAGGGGGTGACAGTGCAGGGAGTTAGGAATGTGTATGGGGCTGTGTGGGGCAGGTCCCAGAGGCAAACACCAAGGGCCGAGCGACTCCAGTAACTGCAACAGGAAGAGCCTGGTTCACAAAAAAGACTTGCGCAAACAAGGGCCAGCCGAGCCGCCAAGGGAAGTGCGGCTCCCGAGAGGCCTCCGCGCAAGGTCCGGGCCTGCTGCCCACTCCGCGTCAGCGCCAACGCCCGACAGTTCCCAGGGCTCCCAGCGCTCCCAGGGCTCCCAGGCCCCGGCGCCGCGAGCAGCGGAGGACGACCCACCGATCATGGCGGCGCGCCGGGGAGGTGGCGGCGCGCGCCCTGCTGCCCCGCAGCGACTCACCGGTGACGTGTAGGAAGCGCAGCCCCTCCGTCTCCAGGGCCGGCCGCGCGGACAGAGGCTCCTCTTCCCGCTCCATGACGGTCGCTGCCGCCGCCCAGCCCCGCTACCGCGCCTCCAGCAGGGCGCTTCCGGTGCGCTTCTACGCACACGTGGCGCGCCGGGACGCGTTACGTTCCCGGCCAATCGCAGGTCGACCCCGCCCCGACGCTGGGCCAAACGCAGAGGGGGCGTGGCCGAAGGGCGTGGCGGGGGGGGTGAAATCCCGGCCATACTCTGGGACTAGGACGGCGTGTAGGGGCACGTTCCATGCCAGTTCCTGGCCTGAGTGGGGGCGGAGGACCAACCTCTTTCACGGATTTCTCACCGAATTTCTACCTTCTTTTTCCTAATTGGACACCGAAGCCAAGAAGGTCAGGGCTGCCCGGAGGCAGGATTTGCACCCACATCCTTGCCCTGGGCACATTGGACAACGGCTCAGTAGGTTGACTCCCCCCAGCATTTGAGGGTTGCAGCCAGCGTCCACTCCCACAAGTGAAAACGAAATGTGGACAGCCTCCTGCTTCTGCTGCCGGTGATACCTTTTAGACCAAGAAAGTCCCCACTGATCCTCAAGATTCTTTTCTCCAAAATCAAAACCTCTTAGGAAAAAACGATCGTAGTAACGGCTCTAACCTGTGTTGAATTATACTGTAACACAAGACACTATCACAGTTATTCATAATAGTGTCCTGGCTGTTTGCTCTACCTACTGTTCTGCACCCTCTTCCACCACTCAGACCTTGCCACTTTTATGGTGACCATAACCATCCTATTTGAAATTTGAACTTGGGTTTTTCTGGAGAAGCATTTGCAGTGCACATACCTAGCTGTGTCTCAAAAGAAGGTTGGGAATTGGGAATATAAATGAAAGAATAATGAACAGGTGACAACATCCGAGTGCTCCGTCACCACCATTGCCAGGAGCAATGTGGGAAAGGCAAACCCTGACATGAAGTGTGAGTGCAACGAGCACTTCTTCAATGCGGGTTTGCCAAGAAGTTCCTCAAGGGGGATGGCTGCAGGGATTTGTGCACTGACCTCATCAAGCTTTCCCAGCAGTTATGTTCAGAAAGCAATGAAGGGGAGGTGGCGTTCATGATGCCAAAGCAAAGAAAAGCCTGAAAGCTCCAATTCCCTGTTGGCCACCTTGAAAATGCACTCCTCAATCAACAAATTGAGGACTCTGGATGTGATCCATAAAGGCTGTGAAGATAGCTTATCAATTTAATAAGTTTAGGAGGGAGAATATCATTTCCTTCTTCACGTTTGCCTTTCACTTGTAAAAGATGAACCATCATCACTCTTCAATTTGCTTCAGAGTGATTTCTCGCATGCTCTGGCATCTTGCAGGAACATTTATGTACTAAACTGGATGACCTCTTAGGATTATAGTTGCAATCCTCGGTCTCAGGTTAGTTTTAAATCCACCTTACATCCAAATACTGACAAACTAGACAGGATGAGCAGGGTTGCCTGACCTCTTTTGTTAGGCAGTGAAGGACATTAGGTACACTGTACTGGGATCATAGTTCATGGAAAAAAATGGTTAGGCCCCCACTTTTCTCTCAGGAAGCTCATAGCAAAACAGTTTCAATCAATGCTTGGGATCAGTTTTATTTTTATACAGTAACTTAACAGAATGGTTTAACACACAGTTCCCCATCTTAACAAGATGTCAGATGAAGACTTGAGAGCTTCAAGGACTCTGCAGTGGGTTGGGAGTGATGGCTTTTGCCTATAATCCTATGGTACTTTAGGAGGCTGAGGCGGGAGGATCACTTGAGGTCAGGAGTTCAAGACCAGCCTGGGCAACACAGAAGATCCCATCTCTACAAAAAAAATTTGGCCAGGTGCGGTGGCTCACCTCTAATCCCAGCACTTTGGGAGGCTGAGGTGTGTGGATCTCCTGAGGTTGAGTTCAAGACGAGCCTGGCTAACATGGCGAAACCCTGACTCTACCAAAAATACAAAAATTACAAGCGCGGTGGTGGGCGCCTGTAATCCCAGCTACTAGGGAGAGTGAGGCAGGAGAACTGCTTGAACTCGAGAGGTGGAAGTTGCAGTGACCTGATTGTACCACTGCACTTCAGCCTGGTTGACAGAGCAAGACTCTGTCACACACGCGCACACACACACACACACAGAAAGAAAGAAAGAAAAATAAGGTTATGAAGGAAGATTCTAAATTGCAAAGATTTGTGGTTGCTGGCTTTCAAGCCATGTTAATGAATTAAGTCAACATGCACATTATCAAAATGCCAAAATGTTGCATCTGGTGAAATGAAGGGAACTTTTGCTTTATTTGCCTTATCTGCCCTATCCTGTAATGTCTGTAATCACAAAGATGGAATAAACTCTAACATTTAAAAAAGGCAACAATCCTTTTCACTGAGAACTTTGCAATATAAAACAGAAACCAGTATTACCTCATGAAAATAATGCACATTCTAAACATATACAAAGTATACTTGTAAACTACTGTGAACTAGTGTTGTATACATATGTACATACAGTATAATGGATATATTCCACTAAAATCTAATAGATTTTGAATTATTTGACTGCATGGATGATGGGCTCGTTTCAGTTCCCAGCACATTGTTCTTACAGTTCTATTGATAGAAGTTACTCATCCTAGCCAGGCATTTATGTTACCTTTGTGCCTTTCATCAGGTGTTATAACCTCACCTGGCTTGGCTTATCTGGAACTAGAAAGGTATTTCAACAAACACTTTGCTCAGTGTAATTGCTTAGGTACTATTTGCAAAAATAGGACAAAGGTAGACAGTAACCAGAACTGCCAGCTGTCACTGAAAGTCATAGGCTAAGTGACTGGCCCTAATTTGTCACTCTTTCTCACAGCCATATCCTGCTATAAAAAGTGAAAGGAGTCTATTTCCCCATCATTCTTTGACTTTGTATACTTGGTGAGATGGCTTGCTTTGGTTAAGGGCAAGTAGGCAGAATTAAATGTGTCATTTTTAATGTAGGTAGGCCTTAAGAAGCCCCTAGTGTTTACTTCTTGTGCCTTGCCAGGTGAGCTGGCTCATCTGAGACCTGGAAAGAAACCAAGCCACCCCAGTTAATCCAGACCTACAGTGATAAGCAGAGCCAACTATAAGAATAAATAGTGGTTGATTAAAACCCCTGGGTTTTGTGGTGGATTGTTATACAGCATTATTGTGGCAACAGCTAACTGAGAAAGTGCCAAGCTTTACATAAACGTATATGCAACAAGATGGGGTTACAACTGTCGTGGCTAAGGGAGATTGGAGAGATGGCAATCAAACAGTAGTGTTCTTCAAATATGAGTAAGTTACACCACTTTCAACAGCAAACATTCTTGAAGACTCTCCATGCGACCTTTATGTTAACTACGTACTTATCTAAAACTAGAGGGTGGGTATAGTGGCTCAGGCCTGTACTCCCAGCACTTTGGGAGGCCAAGGTGGGAGGATCACTTAAAGCCAGAGTTGGAGAGCAGCTTGGGAAAGAAAAAAACCTCAAAAAAACCCGTAACCAGGATAAGTGGGACACACTAATCAATTCCAAAAATGGAATCATTTCAGTGTCCTATCAGAAGCTGGAGCGACAGGCAAGTCTGCATTAACACAAGGGCCACGTGGGAGTAGAAAAGGTGGCCTTACTGGCATGTTTGTGACACTGCAGGAGCTGGACGAATCCAGCCCAGGAAGCCTACCGAGGAAATCCTGCCCTCCCACATTTACAAATGAAACACGTCCTTAGACCTCACTGCAAACGCACCGTGATGACACACAACCTGGCAGCACAGTGAGTGGAGTTTATTTTTATAATTTGTAGAAAACTGACATTTAGATTTCAAAACTTATATTACAAAATTATCAGCAGCAGTCTTAAGTATTTCAACAATGCTGACAGATTCCACTTTGCTAACACAAACAAGGCTATTATCCCACGTTCGAAAAGCAGAACTTGTTCCAAGAGGGCCTGTTGCTATACATCTGCCCCATCGCTCAGGACCCGTTTGTGACTGTGTCTTCTTCCATCTCTTCTTCACCATCATCAGTGGGCCCTAAAGAAAAAACCACGAAACCAAAAGTTGAATCAGTTTTAGAGAATCTATTTCCTTAGCATGTGAGTGCTTGTTCTGTGGCCCCTGTTTGCTAGGCACTGAAGCAGGTCCAAACAGATCAAAAGCATCCCCTGCCTTTGAGGAGCGTATTGCCCAGGGACAGTCTAGTCTGTCTTTGGCTGGTACTGGAAGGGATGATCAGTTTCAAAGGAAAAGGGTCACAAAAGTTTCAGAACTGCTGCCTCCCACTGTAGTTGATAATTCATTTTTGTGAAGGGAAAAAGTCTACAGTTGTGTGCTTTTCTTTTTTTTTTTTTTT